GTGGTATCAAAGTTGCAGTTGAATTTATTTCTATGTATGACTATTGCATTTGACAAATTCTTGTGCATAAGATCCCTTTTGTGTTCATAGATATGTTTTTTTTAATATCTGCAAGATAAATTTTACTTTTCTCTTTATTCATATTATCCTTTTGCCGATATGTGAAATTTTACACACACACACACACACACACACACACACACACACACACACACACACATATATATATATTGTTGAAACTTGACTAATGCATGGAATAATAATACAACACAAAATGTACTTAGAACAAAATGTATTGAAACAAGAAAGTGTACACAATATTCACTTGTAGTCTTTTGTATATTCTTGGGAAGACCGTTCCTGGAGAATGTGTTGACTTAATCGCAGTCGGGCAGAGTTTCTGGATTGAATCTCTTGATTCCTTCTCCGTCTTCCCGGTACCAACCATATTTATATGGTCGGTACCCCACTATGCAAATTAGGTGGATCTACCACAACACATATATATATATATATATGTAGGTAAGTGAGCGTTTAACAGTAATCATAGGTAGGCATACTGGTAGCGCAGAAAAGTTCTCGGTTCCACCACGAGGAGATTAGCTTCATTGCTCCATCTCCAAATGTGATTTTTTGTCATTTAGATTTTGGGAAGTGATTTCGGCTTAGAAACCTTTACATTACCTCCTCATTCATAATATATACAGAGCTTGGTGCTTGTTCAAACTGTCGATCATGGGAAATTAGAGGTTTTTCCCAGAAACTGTAACTAAATACAGATGCAGTGTAAACCACAGGTGGGCTATATGCATGTTGTACAAATACAAATGTGCCTTGGCAGGAGTTTGCGACAAAGATTAGCTTGCCAGCCAAGTATACTCGGGAAAACGATAGTTCATCCATGACTATCTATCTATCTATGTCTGTTTTTATTTATCAATATATTTCGGTTTGTTCAAACGTATTTTTGTATCTATGGGTGTATTTATCTCATTATCTAATACCTAATAGGGATGCCTTATCTATCTAATTGGTGTTACAAATTGGACTTTCTTGCCTTGGATGGCAACCTGTCTAGAAGAAGGAAAACTCAATTCAGAACTAGTCGGATGAGAGACTATCTTGATCCTACGGGTCTAACAGATTACGTCACTGAGGGTTTAAGCGTACTGGTTTCGTTCAAAGTGTTGATCAAACTAACTAAACTTTGCTCAGTATAGTTGCAGTATGAACCACAGGCGCTGAAGAGATATAAAATGTACTTGAGCAGGCGTATGCAACAGGAGTTACCTAGCTAACACAAGCAAATGGGCATACCTGTAAACGATCAGCCAGTTTTTATTATTATTATTATTATTATTATTATACACATTTACTTCCGGGTCCCAACCAGAGACCTAAGATCAGAAATCGTTTCATGACATTTTCCATTGATCATTATTAGTAAAACAAAATAATAAAATCTAAGATCACATACATTTTACATACGTAAAGCTCATCGTAATGTGTGAGCTGTACTTGTGAGTACAATTTTTTCGTATTTCTTTAAGGCAGAGGCTACCAGGAATCACTCCAATTAGTCTATCGAAATCTTTTCCAATCAATCAATTATTATTATTATTATTATTATTATTATTATTATTATTATTATTATTTCCTTGGGTTTCTTTTGTTTACACATTTCCTTCCGGGTCCCAACCACAGACCAAAAATTAGAAATCATTTCATGACATTTTCCATTGATCATTAGTAAAAAAAAAACAAAAAAAAGCACTCAGGTCACACACATTTTACATAGATAAACTCTGTATCAGCCGTATTTATGAGGACATTTTTTTGTATTTATTTAAGGTATAGGCTACCAGGAATCCCTTCAATGAGTCTATCAGAACATTTTCCAATCAATCCGAGGGCTCCAACTACAACTGGAATTATTTATGTCTTTATGTACAAAATTTTTCAAAATTTTCACTTAAACATCCTTAAAGATCTTCAAAAATACATTACAATCCGCAGAGATTGCCATGTCAATCAGAAAGCATATTCTGTTCTTGTGGACTTTGATCACGACGTCTGGGTGATTAGCTTTGATTGTTCTATGTGTATTGTAATGTCCTATAAAATTGTTATACGCCCGAGCTCTCTAACAGGGTCTGGTTGATATTCATACCAGTTTCTTTTAGTTTCCTTTCAGTAAAAGATGCGTTATTATTATTATTATTATTATTATTGTTTTCGTAATAATAATCCAACAGCCTAATTCTGACTCCAGATTAGAGACAGGAATACAGAAGACCAGATCGTTAGAATTGTGTCTGTCTAATGATAATGATAGACAGTTATATTTGTAGTATTTTCCAGTTAGACTTCAATACAAGTATTTAGTAATTACTCTAACCCTCAATGGCTATATTGTCTACAACTTGACGCCATAGAAACTTAGAAGCCTCATGGGGGAGCTTTTATTGGCAGGCATTGAACTCAAGACTGAGTGCAATGGGTTATCTGTTTCCTTCTTATTATTCGAGTGAGAGAAAAGATACGAAAATTTGGTTTTAGAAGCGAGACAAATAACAGAAAAAAAAAGCTAAGAAAACACATAAAAAGCTAGGGAAGGTCATTTCGCATTGCATTGGGCAAATAATAGCTGCGAACAAACAGATTTTTCAATTTTATTTCCGACTGATTTTTGCCTATTCTTTTCTCATATTTAATTAATTTACGAAAACAAACTTCTTATTCCTGAATGTAAACATAATGACTAATTATAACACGGAATTTAATTCGGTTCTAAAAATATAACAAACAATTTCCGAATCCGAAGTATAGAGCTTGACATAACCAAATCTGTAATTGTTAGCGATAATCAGTTTTCTCATTAATCATCGAAAATCGTCTTATTATTCTTTATATATAATGTGTGTGTAAAATAAAGATGATTTATATATATATATAATAAAGAAGGTTTATATAAAAGATGAAGATGATTTATATATATATATATTTTATATATATATATATATATATATATATATATATATATATATATATATGTGTATATATATATATATATATATATATATATATATATATATATATATATGTATTATATGTACAGAGGAGTGTTCGGTTAGAAAGGTCAATTTTACTGTTTTTAAACTCAATTCTCCATAAGTTTCTCTCATTCATTCATATCTGCTGAATGCGTATCCAAATGTAAACAAATGACGTCATACTTTATGAAATGGACAATTATTTACGACAATTATTGAAGACATTTTTTTATGTTTATACGTTCTTTTTATAGATACAAATATTTAAGTAACTGCTCTATTTATAATAAACAGTATTAAACAACATTTACCGGCCTGAATGTCGGAGAAATTTTCCTAGAAAATATGCGTCCTCCGACAGGAATCGAACCTGTATCCTATACAGAACCGTCATATAGCCTGACGTGCCTTAACCGATTGGTCCACAGAGGAGGGTTCGTTTAGTTATTAACAGAGGTAGACTGTCGTCATATGAATCAACATTGTATGGCGACTGTTAGACATTTTCTGAAGATCACATCAAGGTGTGAATCTGCTAATCCCTATGCAGTGATTTTTCCTCTGTTCAAATTCTCTCTTCAAAAACACACACACACACACACACACACACACACACACACACACACACACACACACACACACACACACACACACACACACACACACACACACACACACACACACACACACACGTGTGTGAGTGTGTGTATGTGGTGTGTGTGTGGTCTATGTGTGTATGTAAACAAGAGTTGTTCCCACAGTAATAAAATATAGACTTGAACAAAATAAAGGTCATTATTGTATCTTTAGGATCCTTTCGACCAACGCTTTTTCAAAAGGTAATCGTTGGCGATACACAAACACAATCAAGACGCATAAGTAACAATAACGAATGAGGAGGGAAAGTTGGAACAGCCTCGAGAGCTTGGAGATGGTAAACCGAGTGAGCACTATGTAGAATGGAAAAAAAAATGTGCCCTAGGCGGCACAATCAGGATTATCCAGCAAATGCTGTCCAATGTATGAGTTGTGAACTGCTTGAGTGGTTCTTAAAATACGGCTTTGACTACTTGAACGCAAACACGCATGTACATGTTGCGTCATCCGCGTTCCTAATCTCTGATCGTTTCGTCCTGTCTACACCGCTTCGCATTGGCATTTGAGTTTATAAATATCTTATCTGAAAATAGGACAAACAATCCTTACTAAAGGAAGAGAACCCGGATTTTGTTTGGAACGGAATACGCAACAACAACAGCATTGTAGCATGAAGCAATACAAGCTGAAATTCTGTCAGACAGCAGATGACACTTCCTGGCATCTTTAAATAAATCGGGCACCAACTAGGTCCTAGAACAAATGGTTCTATATCTATCTATCTATCTATCTATCTATCTATCTATCTATCTATCTCAGAATAATCGTAATCTATCTATCTATCTCGAAATCGAATCTCATCCATCATGTATGTATAAATATTATCTATCTATCTATCTATCTATCTATCTATCTATCTAGGCAATATATCTTCATTCAAGCAGGTTTCATTAAATAATATAGACATATTATGTCCATTTATTTTCATAATAATCCTTTAATTATCTTCTCTATGCTAAGTTAAAATTCATCAAGAAAAGTGGCATATTTTCTTTTGTTAAACCAAGTACTTTCGATCTCCTCCGAGGTCATCCTCATTTTGCAATTAACCATTCTGGTTATCGCCCTAGGAACGCTTGTAACCAAAACGGTTAATTTTAAAATAACTATAGCAGAGCGTATTCGTGTGTGTTTGCAAGATCACTATCACAACGATTACAGATACATTAATTTTGTCTTCTGAATTCACTGGTGAGGATGATCTCCTCTAAGATCGAAAGTACTTGGGTTAACAAAAAATACGGCATCTTCCTTGATGAATTTCAAGTTACGATTAAGAAGATAATTACAAAGGATTATTCTAAAAATAAATAGACTTAATTTGTCTATATTATCTAATAAAACACACACAACCCCTCCCCATATATATATATATATATATATATATATATATATATATATATATATATATATATATATAGCTTATATCACGTTGAAATCAAACGCCGGTTCTCGTATAATCAACAACATCATCGCGCCTGGTTACTGCATAGATGGGTAACCATTTGAGCATACTTGATTCCCACGCGATCTCTGAAGTTAAGCAACGTCGTGTTTACTCAGTATGTCGATGGGTGACCGCATGGGAATACAAGGTGTTGCAAGCTTGGATGTGTGGATGGTGTAATGGATAATGGTTCACAGAAAGACTGTTTCGCTGTTTCACAGCTCATCAGTGTGGCTAGACATCCGATTGCTTCAAGCCGGGATCGAAACCCGACTGATTCGGAAACTGTCGGAGCGCGGGAATTAACAAAGACTTGTAACTGTCAGTTTTAGGCTTCGGATCGCATTGGCGACAGAGTTTCTTTTTTCAATAAATATTTTGCTTAAGTTTAGTTAGCGATATCAAATCTATAATTCCGAATTTATATAAAAAGAAATAATTCAGTAAATAGTTTACTTAATAACTAATGAAAATACATGTAATTAATTGCAATAAAGTGTAACGATATGCCAGTTTTGAAATCTCTGCTTCGTGATATTTTATTACGTTGCTCGCATTCGGGAGCATAGGGCTATTGTGCAATCTTTCATTGGCTGCATAGTATGTGCTTCGCCAAGAATAAATACGGGTTATAGAAAATATTAACCGACCTCAGATACACTACCAACAAGAACAACAAGAACAATAATAATATTAATAATAATCTGCCCGTACCAAACAAGATGATGTAGACAAAGCCCGTATTCATCAGTGGTTACATAGTGCAGGGTTAAAAGCTGAAGCCGAAAGTTTTATTCTTGCTGCACAGGAGCAATGCTTATTAACTAGAAATTACCAAGCATACATACTGAAAAAATCTATTAGCCCCAAATTAACCCCAAATGCAGATTCTTTGATAAATATCCATAAACAATTGAGCTGGTTGCACGGTATTAGCTCATATTGAATATAAATCTCAGCATGATATCTGCACGGAAAAATATGCCACTTTTATGGGAAGGAAACTGCAAGGAACTGTCATGAAAAGTCAGGATCGATTACATTGCAAATTCTTCTTCTCAAAATGAATAGCAGAAGCACCAGACCAGATATGGCAATAGTATTCAATACACGGACGAATGGTAGATTTTTAAATGAACGAGATGGATTCTGACGAGAAAAACCTGACACGACACAATGAGCCAATTTTCCTTGCGCTTGATACAGCTATTGTTTCAATTTAGTTTTTCCATTTCAAGTCAGTTGAAAACGTGAGGCCCCAGGAGTTGAACATCAGCCATGCTGAAGGCGGACATGGAAGTTTCTCTATGGTGGTTAAATGATAGCAGTTTAGTTTTGGAGGCATTCGAATTTACAAGCCATTTTCTACCCTGGTTAACTACCGATTGCAGTTTCTTTTCAAGATCAGCGGCCAGGTGAACTTTGTCACCTCTGGGGCATTTGCTATTGAGACAGGAGTAAATGATAGTGTCATCTACATATATGCCTACATGGAAAATTGATGACATCGTTAAAATCATTGATGAAGATCAGAAACAGCGTAGGACGCAGTGTAGAGCCTTGGGGGACACCCGCTTTCACGTACAAGGATCTGGAAGTGAGCCCGTTTAGATTGACCTTTCACGATTTATTAGGTTAGTGCAAAAATAATGTCGTTTTTTGACGTTCAATTTAACGTCAAAAAACGACATTATTTTTGCACCAACCTAATAATAGGAATGACAGGATTGAATCATACAATCGTCATGTAATACCGTAACCCTGAAGCTTGCCAAACCTTGTCAAACGCTTTTGAGATATCTAGAGCTACAGCTCGAGCTTCGCCGTTATTATCAAGAGCTTGATATACATAATCAGTGCTGACCTTAAGCAGGAAGCGGTAGACAGGGTAAAACGGAAGCCATATTGTTTGTCAGAGATTCGTCAATGAACGAACATGTGATTAAGAAAAATATTCAATTCTCCAAACCGCGACTGGAAACACCTTTAACAATGATTTTCACCCTGTACAAGGCCCGAGAGCAGCAATTTACCGAGTAAGAGGCACAGTTTATGCGAATATGTGGGAACGATAAGGATTATCCTAAACTTGAGCAAGTTAAGGTTATAGTGATCTGGAAAGCATTTTTTGAGGTGTCGCTTCCACGGCGGATAGTGGTAAGAAGCTGCGCTAGTAGAACTTGCATCTCACCAATGGAATACGAAGAGAATGAGTGTGGTATGCTACAATGTGCATTGTATGCTACAATGTGCGTAACATGGCTGATCTTAGCCGTGAAGATTAGAACTGGTGGAAATAGAGACTGAGAACGTGCCAGTGAAATAGCGATAGGACAGGGAAAGGCTTGTATCGTTTCGCTTGTGAGAAAGGGGTTGTAGGGTGGAATACACTTTTGGACTCTATCGAGACTGGGAAGAGAGATCAGCTAGGTTAGAGGAGAGATCAGGTAGGCCAGAGTAGAGATCAGCTCGGTTAGAGGAGAGATCAGGTAGTCCCGAGTAGAAAAATTGCTAGGTTAGAGGAGAGATCAGGTAGTCCCGAGTAGAAATCAGCTAGGTCAGAGGAGAGATCAGCTAGGTCAGATCAGCTAGGTCAAAGGAGATATCAGCTAGGTCAGAGGAGAGATCATCTAGGTCATAGGAGAGATCAGCTAGGTCAGATCAGCTAAGTCAGAGGAGATATTAGCGAGTTCAAAGATCAGGTAGGTCAGATGAGAGATCAGGTAGTCCCAAGTAGAGATCAGCTAGGTCAAAGGAGAGACCAGCTAGGTCAAAGGAGAGATCGGCCGGGTCAGAGGAGAGATCAGCTAGGTCAGAGAAGATATCAGGTCGTCCAGAGTAGAGATCAGCTAGGTCACAGGAGAGATCAGCTAGGTCAGATCAGCTAGGTCAGAGGAGAGATCAGCTAAATCAGAGGACAGATCAGGTAGGCACGAGTAGAGATCATCTAGGTCAGAGGAGAGATCAGCTAGGCCAGAGGAGAGATCACCTAGGTCAGATCAGCTAGGTCAGAGGAGAAATCTGTTAGGTCAGAGGAGAGATCGGCTGGGTCAGATCAGCTAGGTTAGAGGTGAGATCAGCTGAATCTGAAGAGAGATCAGCTAGGTCAGAGGAAAGATCAGGTAGTCCAGAGTAGATATCAGCTAGGTCAGAGGAGAGATCAGCTAGGTCAGAGTAGATATTAGCTAGGTCAGAGGAGAGATCAGGTAGTGCCGAGTAGGGATCAGCTAGGTCTGAGGAGAGATCAGCTAGGTCAGAGGAGAGATAATGTAGGACATAGTAGAGATCAGCTAGGTCATAGGAGAGATCAGCTCAGGTCAGATCGGCTAGGTCAGAGGAGAGATCAGGTAGTCCAGAGTAGAGATCAGCTAGGTTAGAGGAGAGATCAGATAGTCCAGAGTAGAGATCAGCTAGGTCAGTGGAGAGATCATATAGCCCATAGTAGAGATCAGCTAGGTCAGACGAGAGATCAGTTAGGTCAGAGGTGAGATCAGCTGCCAATCTCTTGTCATCTGGAGTTTTCCTTACTGGAGCGGTAGAGGGAACCGATCATTTTTTCAGCATCTTTATGGATCGATCATATGTACGAGTTCTACATGAGGTCTGGATACGAGAATCCAGAGTAATGTGCTGGTGATTTGAGGAAACGGAGCTATCGGGTGTAAACATGCAAATGTCTGAATAATAATAATAATAATAATAATAATAATAATAATAGCAACAACAACAGTATCCATTCGCCAATCGTTTTTTAAGCGGTTTCCTTTTTAACAGTCACCATTACCGATGACTGTATTTCTTCTTTTACTGAAGAACGTCGCCATTTTCACACTTTTCCCGCCACACATATCTCGCTATTTTTCCTTCTCTCCCACACTCTCTTTAATCCTTTCCCGCCGATTCATTAATGACTTCTCATACGGGTTAATGGAATATAGCCCTGGCAGCGAGAAGAAATTAGAGCTTTTAATAAATCTTTGAAAACTGTATGTGGCCGTCTTCAGACAATTGCTGTTGCTTGTAGGTGTGCTCTCGTCCCGATGCAACGAGAATACCGCATCGACTGAAAGAATGAAAGAAATATTATGAAAGAAAAACAAGAAGAAGACAAGAACAAAAGAATAAAAATCGAAAGAGGATTACAAATCTCAATCACCAGTTTGTTGGGTTGCTATTGTTGCTAAAATATTCTTTATTTTTTCTTTGCTTTCAGCATGTTTCTATCTATCTATCTATCTATCTATCTATCTATCTATCTATCTATCTATCTCAGTATTTAGATATGAATCGCTTTTTCATTTCAGTTTTTTCATAACTATCTATCTTTCAATCTATCTAATACTTGATATCTAACTACTCGAATCATTCACTTTCTTCATTATCTATCTATCTATCTATCTACTGGAATCAGTCAGTTTCTATCTATCTATCTATCTATCTATCTATCTATCTATCTATCTATCTATCTACTGGAATCAGTCAGTTTTTCTATCTATCTATCTATCTATCTATCTATCTATCTATCTATCTATCTATCTACTGGAATCAGTCAGTTTCTTCATATCTATCTATCTATCTATCTATCTATCTATCTATCTACTGGAATCATTCCGTTTCTTCATATCTATCTATCTATCTATCTATCTATCTATCTCAGTCATTACACATGTATCGCTTTTTCATTTCAATCGTTTCATATCTATCTATCATTCAGTTTAACACTTCACATCTAACTACTCAAATCATTTACTTTCTTCATATCTATCTATCTATCTATCTATCTATCTATCTATCTATCTATCTATCTATCTATCTATCTATCTAACACTTCATATCTCTCTATTCTTTACAAACCCCATACTTTTTCATTAATTCTTTTCAATTCCACTTTTATATTCTTTTTTCTTATTGCCACTTTTTCCATTCAGTTTCCATTTTTGCTTCTAATGATGGAATTAATTTCTTTTCTTTTCCGTCTTTGGCTTACGAGATGCCAGTGATAAAATCATGCTACAAAAGCAAGGCTGATGTCTACTTATTGTTCATTCCATTAATATTAAACATTATTCTTGCTCTTCTTGTGCAACGTTTTGTTTGTTTTTCATTTTCCATTATGATTTCTATTCTCCGCTTTATTCAATACGTTCAACTGCTTCTTAGATTCAGTTTCGTTGAAAGTAATTCGTAATTCATCTTCTTTGTAACTCTCTTTATCATTGTCTTTGATCACTTTCTCTTCTTCTTGCTACTCATTATTCTTTGCTTGTTTTTAGTTCAGCTTTTCTTTCTTGTCTTCTTTCATTCTTTCCTTCAATATTTTCATTTTTCTTTTCCTTAGAACTTGCCTTACATTTTTTCTATCAGCATATGAACCTTTCTATCTTTTCCCACCATATATTCTTTCTTTCTTTTTTCTTTCTTTCTTTCTTTCTTTCTTTTCTTTCTTTTCTTTCTTTTTAATCTTTCTTTCTTTCTTTCTTTTTTATCTTTGTTTTGTTTTGTTTGTTTGTTTCTTTTTTATTTCTTTCTTCCTTTCTTTCGTTCTTTCTTTCTTTCTTTCTTTCTTAATTCTTTTTTTTGTATTATCTTTTACAGCTTTACTCGTTCTTTCTTCCCTCCAGGTTTTAGAAATTTATTTTTATTAAGTCCTTTATACTCTTTCTAATTTGCCCCTCCTTCTCCTCTCTTTCTTCTTCCTCCTCCTCCTCCCCATCTTCTCCCCCTTCTTTCACCATCGCAAAATCATCCTCATTCTTTTTTTCTTTTTCTTTTTTCCCCGTCACTTTTACAATATTTATCTTTGTGTTCTTTTTATTTCTCCATTTCGTTTCCACTTTCTATTCCCCATCTATGCCGCCACCATAATCAGCATCTTTGCAGTTATTATTATTATTATTATTATTCCGCCATTAAAAATGTTGTCTTTCATTTAGATTAATCACGGACACAGCGGTGAGTATTTTCCCGCCATTCGAATTTTTGTTGCTTTATTCGAAAGCATGTTTATGTTTCCTGGCTTTTTTCTCGCTTCATTCATCTCGTTAGGCTACACGCATGCGTGGAGTTAGGCATGTGGGCGTGTGTCTGATTTGTAGTTCTGATTGGACAGATAAATTGGATCAGACCCATGCTGAAATTATTATATTTGAGAGTGTACGAAAACGTTTTGTTAAACAGTTTTTAGAGATAAAGTATATACGTTAAGACACCGGGAACTTTATATATTGATTTCAAACATTTAAGTGCATGTACACATAAAATACAATTGGTAGATATATACTACACAACCATGCACTAACACCCTACTCGCATTCCCACAGTTATATATATATATATATATATATATATATATATATATATATATATAATTATTTATTTAAAATTATAACATAAATATGTTATAAAATCACTACAAAAAATACCATTATGTTTCAACACCTCCGGTGTCTTATCAAGTGATGATGTTGAATGTAGAAAATTGGTGTATATATATATATATATATATATATATATATATATATATATATATATATATATATAATTTTTGGTTTTCAAAAACAAGAGCCGAAAACATCCATATAATTATTAAAATTAAGTTGAATTGAGGCGTTTAGTCCCGTTTCATCTTCAAGCGAAATTATTTGGATGGTTTCGGCTCCCGTTTTTGAAACATGAGAACTCTTATGTAGTGAAGGAATCATATTTTTAAACAAAAAATATTATAATATAAGCTCTACTTCTTTATGGAGCACTGTCTTCTTAAAAAATAAAAGCCAAAATAATAAGGAACTCCGGATTATGCACCCAACGTGTTCTTTTCTATTTTCTGCATACCTGCGCACTTATATATATATATATATATATATATATATATATGTGTGTGTGTGTGTGTGTGTGTGTCTGTGTGTGTGTGTATGTGTATTGGGGACATTTCTCTCAATAAAAAAAATCGTTTAAATACTGACACCTACGACGACATTGTACCTGAATACCTAGTTATGACTATGATGAACTCTAGCGGCCACTTCCAGCGGGGCAATGCACCGTGTCACAGATAAAAGATAGTAGCGTATTGGTTCATCGACCACAGCAATATGTCTTCTCCGTTAAATAGGTTTTTCGAGTCACCGGATTTCATTTCAATCAAGCAATTTTTGGGGATGTGGTTGAGAAGTAGATTCGAATCTTGTTTGTGAAGCCAACCGATCTAGAAGAATTGCGTGATGCTAAAATAGCAGTATTGACCCCAATTGTGAAAGGATGCTAGGCAATTCTCAGAGAATTGAAAATCTTAATCGGCGGCCACAATATAAGATACGCAGATGACACAGTACTGATAGCAGACACAGAAAAATTTTTTTTACAAAGCCTCCTACAGAAGGTAGCGACGGAGAGCGAGAACAAAGGACTAAGCATAAACCAAAAGCAGACATAATGAATGGTCATCAGTAAAAGGATGAGCCTGAAATGCGATTTACAGGTCGGGGACACTAAAATCAAACAGGTGCTGAAGTTTTAATATCTGGGAAGCGTCTTGACAGAGGACGGCAAGTGCAACACTCAGATTCCTAGACGTATTGGAAAGGCAAAGAACGCATTTGAAAAGCTGGGCAGTGTATTGCGAGACAGGAAGATTTCTTTGGTAACAAAGAAATGAATACGAAGCTTTAAGGTGACAGTTGTCTTCCTTTACCGTAGCGAATGTTGGACGGTCTCCTCAATGATGAAGAAGAGACTCGGGGCGACGGAGATGTGGTTCTACAGAAGGATGCTGAGGATATCATGGACCAAGCAAGGGTGACGTCTTGGAGAGGATGCAAACAAGGAGGAGGCTTATACTTAACACCAGAAAGAGGCAGTTCCTGGGACATATAATGAGGAAGGAAGGCCTGGAGAATCCGATACTCACAGGTCGAATAGAGGGGGAGAGAGAAAAGGGAAAGCAACGCATGACATACCTGGTGGGCTTAAGCAAGTGGATGACAGAACGTGGTCTGGGAGGTGTGGTAGAGGGACGAAACTTATTGAGAGCTACAAGGGATGGGGGGGGGGAGAGAGGAGAGGCATGATCGCATACATCCTGAAAGGACACTGCACATAAAAAGAAAAAGAAGCTTCCAGGAGATCGTTGTATCCATGCCAAGAAAAACTAAGGTGATTCTAATTGCAAAATGGGATCTATTAGAAAAGTATACCACTAATATACAGGGTGATTGAAAATTAACTCCCTATTTTATGCTTGAGTAGCCAGCCACGAGTCCTGACTTAACAACCTGTGATTTTTTTTTCTTTAGGATTGGTTAAAGAAGCAAGTCTACCATACCAAACCAAGACTTTGGAAGAACTTGAAGGGTGAATACAAGAAGGTAAGTCTTCCATACCAGAAGACTTCCTGGCGAAATCATTTGACGCCATTTCTTGGCGGCTCGAGAAGCTGGTAGCGAAATCTAGTGCCCATATCAAATATTAAATAAAGCCTCATGCTTTCCTCTCATATAAAATTGTAAAAATTATAGTTAATAAATAAATTATAAGTATTTTAAAATGACGATTCACTTTTCAATCACCCACTATATATAGAAAGGGAAAAAGAAAAAAAATATATATACATGTATTGTCAAATGACCGGATATATTGTAGCGTCTTGTCGAACGTAATTTCAATGAAGAAATGAATTGAATAAACATATATATTTTTTCTTTTCTCAATAATTTTGTAGTTTTTAAACTTAATAGTGATTAAATTTGGATTTTAAAATTGCCAGTTTTTAATTTTAATATTAAATTTTATCATATAATTTTATAATTATTAGTTAGTATAAATTATTTTTAATATTACACGTATTTAAAGATCTGAATAGCTATTATAGCATGATTTCGTTGTCAAGCTTTTGAATCTTTCTATACTTCGTTTTTGATTGGTTATTCTAGCTTTTGTAGCTAGTGTAGGATCGTTAATTAATCTGAAACTTTTAAAACCATTTATTTTCTTTTCAACGTCATCACTTGATAAGACACAGAGTGTGTTGAAACAAAATGGCTATTTTTGTAGTGATTTTATAACATACTTATGTTATAATTTTTTTTACAAAAAATAATTATATATATATATATATATATATATATATATATATGTTTTTGTTAGTAAGTGTATTTAGAAAAATATGATGAATTGGAATTTTTTGCCTTTTAAATAATAAGCAGAAATGACCATTCTTCGCCTGATGATAGTCACAAGACCTGAAACTCGTGTAGAAAAAATATGGAAAATAAAGCATAATATATATTAAAAAAAATAATAAATAAAAAAAAATACACATTATAACTAAAAACGTTCGCGGCTTCTTTTTTTCTTTAAAATATACACTTTTCTCTCTGGAACAAATTTAATATCGCATATATATATATATATATATATATATATATATATATATATATATATATATATATATATATATATAAAATGACAATAGGAAAACTAATAGTTGCCGACGCGTTTCGTCCAATGTGGATTTTCGCAAGGCAAAAAACGAAATGAATTTATTTAAACAAAGAGAAAGTCCACATTGGACGAAACGCGTCGGCAACTATTATTTTTCCTATTGTCATTTATATTTATAAATATTGTCTTTTTCTACTGGGTAAGTCTGAGAAATTTTTCATATATATATATATATATATATATATATATATATATATATAAAAAGTAAAAGAATGAATTTTGAGAAATTAGAATAATCATATAGTAATTCATCGAGTCGAGAAGAATCCTTAAAAGAATGTAGAAAACACTGGATGGCCGTTTTGTCCTATTTCGGACTCATCA